ACCCACCCACCCCAAAAAAAGGCCAAAAATAAGCACGAGAATCTTGAAAACCAAAGCTCCCATATACACTTCTTCCTCCTCAAAATATTCATGAGAAATTCACCAGAAAAATGACTGACCCGACTAATTCAGATTCGTGTTGTAAGTCATGATCATGATTGGAAATACCAACAAAAAGATTCGATTCTGACTTCGTAGAACCGGTGCTGTTGTTGCCTGTGTTGCACGTAGAACCGTCCCCTACTCCCCCATCCATTTAAGAGGAGCGCTCCGTATCAGAATTTTCTTTCCTTTTCAGGCTCGACTCGAAACGTCTGGTTAAAGATGTGTCATCATCAGCTTTGCCGGAAAGTTGTTCAAGTTAACACTATAAAGTGGAAAATAGTTGAAAAAGTTTCTATTTTTAGAAAGTTTTTAAGGTTCATTTGGGAAAGAATTATGGTTTGTTCAACTGGAAATTCAGTAAGGTACAGAAGATTGTCTTCAAAATTTTCTGAGGAATTATTAGCTGTGGAGTCATCAAATGAAACATTAATTAGTGGATATGATAGTGATTCAGATTTAGTTGCATTGAAGATTAGTATTTTGGGTGATTGCCAGATTGGGAAAACGAGTTTTGTGGTAAGTTTTATGATTAATTTACTTGTCTGGATAAAATCAGTCACCGATACTTACATCAAGGTAGGTTGCTTTATTACAACCCTTTGGAGTGCCTTTTTCCCGTACCGTGCTTAAACACGGGGTGCTTCGTCCCCTTTTAATCTCTTCTTCTATAACTTGTTTTCGTTAATCGTTTGGTATTTAAGTTTATGATTTCTGAATTCCAATCATTTTAATAAATTTTTTAAGACAAATATAGGATTTGAACCAAAGCTATTGGTTGGTCTTGATCGCAATCTCAAGACAAGCTTCATTCCTGCCTATCAGGGGCGGAGCTAGAGTGTTCGACCGAATTCAGTAGCTTAACTATGTATTTGTCTTAAAAATTTCGTTGAATATCTATAAATTATTAATATAGAACCAGTATCTTCAAGCGTTAAATTCTGAACTCATAAACTTGAAATCTTAGGTCTGCCTGTATTGCCAATAAGGTCTTACTACTTGATAGAGACGTGTTTTTTGTAAACATTCGCGCTGACTTGGTCGCTGCGACCCCTTTTCCCGATGTGTAAGGGAGGGGCTCACCGCTGGTTAAGAATGGAGGGATCTCTTACCTTCCACCATATCCTTATATAGTTCTTTTATAACTTGTTTTATTCTTGATATATATGGAAACTAATGATTTTCTTTTCTTTTATTTTGGAAAAAATTATTTTAGATAAAGTATGTGGGAGATGAACAAGAAAAGAGGTGTTTGGAGATGAAGGGATTGAATTTAATGGATAAAACATTAATTGTACGTGGTGCAAGAATTTCTTTTAGAATATGGGATGTAGGAGGTATATGTCCATTAATTTTAATTCATTTTTCATTTTAGTTTCCTTTAGGCCAAATTTAAGTTGGTAATTATTATTCCTAATTGATTTATTTGATTAATATTTTTTTTTTGGATATAGGTAACCATAATTCATATGATCAAATTCCAATTGCTTGTAAAAATTCAGTTGCAATTCTCTTCATGTTTGATCTCACTAGTAGAAGTACTTTAAACAAGTATGCTTTTCATCTTAATTTCTCAATTATTTCCCATAATAGTCTTTTAAAAAGCAGGGAATAACACGGTTTTCACTCTTTTTCCTTAATTAAATATATATAATAATAAAAACTTTTTTCCTTTTTTGTAATTGCAGTGTCATAGATTGGTACAGTGAAGCAAGAAAGTGGAATCAGGTGCGAAACTTTGCTTTTATTTTACATTACTGTTGTTTTCTTTAATTAATAGGAGAAAGACTTTGGGCTCATGAATTTATTCTCTTTTCTTAGTGTGATGAATAAAGCTAGGAAAAATGGGACCCGGTACGAATGTTGTCGGAGGTAGCAGGTACCTAGTGAAATAGTTGAGGTGTACGTAAACTGGTCAGGAGTTAAAAAACTAGAAAAATTAAGATGACTTGATAATTGTACAGGTGGGAGGTAGCAGACATTTAGTAGAATAGTCGAGGTGTGCGCAAGCTGGCAGAATACTCCTGTCATAAGAAAAAAAACTAGGAAAATAGGATCTGATAATTGTGTTGGTGGGAGATAGCGGGTACCCAGATAAAATAGTTGAGATGCGCGCAAATTAGTACGGACACCACCGTCGTAAAAAAAAGGCTAGGAGAATTAAGATCTAGTAATGGTGCTGGTGGAAGATAGCAGGTATTCGTTGAAATAGTCGAGATGTGCGCAAGCTGACCGGACACCACTATCATAAGAAGAAAAAAAATAGGAAAATGGGATTAAGTGTAATGGTGGGAGATAGCAGGTACCCGATTAAAATAGTCGAGATACGCACAAATTAATCCGAATACTACCGTCATTAAAAAAAACTAGAAAAATTAGGAACCGGTAATTATGCTAGTAAGAGGTAGTATGTATCTGTGGAATAGTCGAAGTATGTGCAAGCTAGCCGAAACCCATTGTCATAAAAAAAAAACCCGGATAAATATGATATGTTAATTGTATTGATGGAAGATAATAGGTCCTCGAATAAAATAGTCGAGATATGCACAAATTAGTCCGAACATCACCATCGTACAAAAAAAAAAGAGGAAAAATGGGAGGATGTCCACAAAACAATGAAATAATAACAAGAATATAAATACAGTAGTTGAGACTTCAATGACAGATTAAAAAAGGCTAGAATGGCCTGAAAGAATAAGGGCAGTGGTTGTAACTACTTTCATTCTTTTAGAGGAAAAAAGTAGAAAATTTAATGGCAATAATTATAGAACTACTTCAAAGCCTCATTTATATTATCAAAAATTGATATGTAGTAGACTTGAAATTTTTAAATAAAAAAGGGACAGTCCGGTGCATAAAATATTCGGTGTTTATGCAGGATTCGTGAAAGGGCTATACCCCAAGGGTTTGATGTAAACAACTTATCTTTAAAAATAAAATTAAAAAGTCAGCTCGGTACACTAAGCTCTTGCTATGTGTGGGGTCTGGGGAAGGGCCGGACCATAAGGGTTTATTGTATGCAGTCTTACCTTGCATTTCTGTAAGAGATTGTTTCCACGATTTGAACTCGTGACCTTCTGGTCACATGGCAGCAACTTTACCAGATGCACCAAGGCTCCCCTTCATAGACAGCCTAGCTTAATACAAGTATTAGTGGCTACTTTTATGGCTCGAATCCGAAGATAACTTTACCGTAACGCCAAAGCTCCCCTCAGGATTATTAAATAGTTGAGGTTTAATTTGTTAAATATCTAATCCTTTTTTATTTGTTTTGTTTGTGATGGGGAAAATGCAGACTGCTATTCCAATACTAATTGGGACCAAGTTTGATGATTTTGTCCAGCTTCCACTAGATATTCAATGGTCTGTTGTCACGCAGGTACCACTTCCATAAATGTTGCACTTGACAAAGTCATTCCTCATATTACTTTTTAATTTTTGGGCTGACGGTATGTTGTTTGAATTCTCTAAAAATGTCATGGGGTGTGTCGGATCCTTCAAAAATAATTTATTCTTGGAGGATCTGACACGGCTGTTGCAAAAACTTTTGAGAGTTCATACAAAAAAAAATTAATGATTTTTTGTTCTTTAAAATGACTAATATATTGAACCTCAGTCCTTTTTATGCCGTTTTAAGTTTTTGACGCACTCATTAAGATCATCATTTAATGACATTATGAGATATTCACTTGTAATAATTCTAATCTTATAATTAAATTCTAGTTTATAATTTCAGTATAACTTATTCTAAATCAAATGATCCATAAATGATTTGTAAGAGTGGAATTGAAAGAAAAAGAATTAATGATTTTTGGTTCTTTAAAATGACTAATATATTGGACTTCCTTTTCTTTTTCTTTTTTTTTTTACCAAAGTAAGATAAAAGGTGCAGGTAGTAGCTATAGCTTTTGGTAAAAATTTATTTGCATTCGATGTTTACACCAGATTATAATAATTTATTATGATTAAATCGTAAATAATTATAATTTAGTGATAAAAATATATATGAAGATATGTGTCATATATTTATTGGTTCGTTGCGATAAAAACCTTTCTCTAAATTAAGAAAATAGTTTTAAATGGGCCACTTTTTTACCACTTTAAACTTTATTTCCAGAAAATCATGCATTATTTGGGGGTGAAAGTGTCGTACTCATCTTGTGATCAATCAAAACAAAGAAAAAAAGATAAAGGCAGAAAGAAAAAGTTCTTTTGACGTGTGAAACTATCAAAGAACAAGTTCATTTAATGTTCTTTTCTTCACTATACCAAATTAAAAAAAAAAGGAAATTATTAAGAATTGTGGTGGGGAAAGGAACCTTAGAACAAACAGTTAAGTTGTCTCCGTATGACCTATAAGTCAGGGTTCGAGTCATGAAATCAGCCACTAATGTTTGTATCAAGGTAGGCTGTCTGCATTACTCTCATTTGGGGTGCAGCCCTTCCGAAAGGTGGATGTAGCATAACACCGATATATTCAATTGAACCATACCTTTTGACGTAGAATATAAATTTATGTGTAAAAATTTACTAAAATTGCTATAACGAGTAGATTTGAACCTATAATTTTAGAAATATGATGGGTTCAATACTAGAAATCACCTATGTTCCCAGATCCTTCGTGAACGCCGGATACTTTGTGTATCGGGCTACCTTTTTATTAAGAATTGTGGTGGGAAAGATGTGATCTCTTTACTCTAATTAAAGCTCTCGGGTTTGAGTTATGAGTCCGTAATTTTTTTTTTTTTGGAAGAGAGTATTTTCTTCTTTAATAAGCTTTACGTGATGCGAATTTGAATAAATCGATGTCCTAATACAGCTACCAAATACCGAATGAAAAATTAAAAAGATACTCCTTTTGTCTCATATTATGTGTCGTGTTTCTCTTTTACACATCCCTTAAGGAATATTAATTAGGAAAGGGATTGAACTATTCTACCCTTATTTATGGGGAGAAATTCAAAAATAGCCAGATTTACAACTGGTCGTTCAAAAATAGCCCAGTTTCAAAAGTAATCGAAATTTAGCCACTTTTCATGTAAAGATAAATCTGAGCGAAATCACTGTTCAAAACCCCGAAAATACGCCAGTATATTATGCTGGAGTTCCAGCATAAGTATACTTGAACTCCAGCATATTATACTGGAGTTCCAGGATAAGTATGTTGGAACTCCAGCATAATATGATGGAGTTCCAGCATAAGTACACTAGAACTCCATTATAATCTACTGGAGTTCCAGCAAGTATATCGGTCCAGCATAATATACTAGAGTTTGGAGCACTGGTGCTCCAGTCTCCAGTATATTATACTGGAACCAGCAAAGTATATTGGTCCAGCATAATATGCTGGAGTTCATACACAGGTGCACCGAACTCCAGTATATTATGCTGGACCGGTCTCTGTTGCAGCAAAATAGTGGCTATTTTTTATTGACTTGGTAAACGTTGGCTATTTTTGAATGACCAGTCCGAAAACTGGTTATACCGTGTTATTTTTACTTATTTATGTCATAAGATATAATCTCTCTTTATTGAAATTTATTCTATTTATGTGTTATCTCTATCTTCAAGAACAATTATTACTAAGGGTAAAAAATATCCGCTTTATCTTGAACTTCTTAAAAAAAGGCAGTCTGGTTCACTAAGCTTCTGTTATGCCCCGGGGAAGGATCGGACCACAAGGGTCTATTGTATGCAGCCTTATCCTACATTTTTGCAAGAGGCTGTTTTTACGGCTTGAACCCGTGATCTTCTGATCATATGTCAATAACTTTATCAGTTACTTCGAGACAATTATTTTTAGTAACTACGAATGTTAATACGAGACGGAGGGTGTAATAATATCTTCTTTACTCTTTCTGTCCCTCTCTATCTTTCTGTCTCTTTCTCTTTAAACGTCAACGTAGAAAAGTAAAGAATGACCAAACCAAAACAAGTGAGTAAAGTCTAGAAATGAAAAGACAAACGTCAAATATTTTTCTTTCCTTCCTTTCCACGTTGGCGTGATAGATAAGCACAAACTGAAAAAGATTAGGATAACACTTGCATTTATTAACAAAGCAATTATTATATCACTTTACTATTCAACACCAAGAGGAGAATTAAAAACCTCTCAATCTGTATAGGATTTAAGTTATATTCACTTATTAGTACTTTACCAACTAGGATTGTAACAGAGTGGTAAGTACTCTTTCATTTTTAATTAAAGGTCTCGAATTCGAATCCTTATAGAGTTGCTTTTGTTAGAGAGCGTTTTATCCCTCCCCCTAACCCCCAATGTGAGACTTCCCGGCGCGAATCTGGATTTAATCGGGCCTCAATAAGGATACCGGACAACGGATGGAAAACCCAAAAAAACTTATTAGTTCTTCTTTAGGTTCATAATAAGTGACTTAACAGTGGCTGCTTTTATAGATCAAACCCGTGACCTATAAATCATACAGAGACAAATTTACTGTTGTCTCGTGACCTATTAGTACTTTACTAGCTAGGATTGTAGTAGAGTGGTAAGTACTCTTTCATTTTTAACCAAAGGTCTCGAATTCAAGTCCTTGGGTATGGAGTTGCTTTTGTTAGAGAGCGTTTTACCCCCCAATGTGAGACTTCCCGGCGCGAATCTGGATTTAGTCGGGCCTCAATGAGGGTACCGGACAACGGATGGAAAACTCAAAAAAAAACTTATTAGTACTTCTTTAGGTTCATAATAAGTGACTTAACAGTGGCTGCTTTTATAGATCGAACTCGTGACCTATAAATCATACGGAGACAAATTTACTGTTGTCTCGTGACCTATTAGTACTTTACTAACTAGGATTGTAGTAGAGTGGTAAGTACTCTTTCATTTTTAACCAAAGGTCTCGAATTCGAGTCCTTGAATATGGAGTTGCATTTGTTAGAGAGCGTTTTACCCCCGAATGTGAGACTTCCCGACGCGAATCTGGATTTAGTTGGGCCTCAATGAGGGTACCGGACAACGGATGGAAAACTCAAAAAAAAACTTATTAGTACTTCTTTAGGTTCATAATAAGTGACTTAACAGTGGCTGCTTTTACAGCTCGAACTCGTGACCTATAAATCATACGGAGACAACTTTATCGTTGCTCCAAGGTTCCTCTTCTAACAATTTAACCTATAACCTAAATTATTTTTGGCTCCGCCCTTGATTACAAGGTGTAGTTTAGCATGTAATAACTACTTATGAATAAAGTTTATGGTAATCTAAATTTTGGAATGTTTATTAAGAAACTTAAATGGTGTTAATTTGCAGGCAAGGGCATATGCAAAAGCAATGAAAGCAAGTCTCTTCTTCTCAAGTGCAACTCATAATATCAATGTGAATAAGATCTTCAAATTCATTATGGTCAAGCTCTTTAACTTGCCTTGGACTGTCCAAAGAAATCTTACCATTGGTGAGCCCATTATTGACTTCTAGAAATTCAGACAGACACTAGTTCTATAGAATTTACCTTTCACCTCGATCGTCCTTAATATCATTCGGTATCATATAACATTGCCGGTTTTATAGTTGTTTTATAGGACTTATCTTTCACCTCTACCTTTCCAAATACCATTAGGTTATATGTAAATAGTGATGTCATCCTCAACCAAAATCCCTTTCTTTGCCTAGAAAAAATCAAGGGAGAAAAAACAAGAGGGAAAAATGGAAAGAAATAGTGAATACTTTTTAGCCTTTTATGTGTCATTTCTAATTTTTACTTGGGGAAATTCTTCCCTTTTTTTCATACTAGTTGTGGATACATATTTGTTAGGGTTGAAAGGTTGAAGGTAATATCCTAGAAAAACACAAAGAAAAGTTTAATGAAATTCAAATTTAAACAGTAACAAGGCAAAATGATTATTTTAAACCAGTCAACTAAATTGTTCTGGATCACTTTCAGCAACATTGAGGTTTCTACCCATCAAGAACCTGCACCTACATTCTTATTCGAGCCCGAGCAATGGGACCGCCTCTTTGGCAGAAAGCGTTTTACCTCCAACGTGGGACTTCTCACCATAAATCAGAATTAGTCAAACCCCAAAGCAAAAACCAATGAGAACAGAAAACATTGAATACAAGTCGATTAGTCCAAAAGATAGTATTTCTGGGGCAAAATTCAAAAATAGCCGGATTTACAAGTGGTGATTGAAAAATAATTACAGTTTCAAAAGTAATAGAAATTTAGTCACTTTTCATGTAAAGATAAATTTTAATGAAAATACTGTTCAAAATTCGGAAAATATTCCAGCATAATATAATGGAGTTTAAATTTTTTACATGTGAACTTCCAGCATAATATTCTGGAGTTCTTGCATAATATGCTGGAAGTTCATAACTTTCCATGTGTTGGAGTTCCAGCATAATATGTTAGAAGTTCATACACAGGTGCACCAATCTCTAGTATATTATGCTGAAACTTTCCGTATTGCAGCAAAATAATAGCTATTTTTCAGTTACTTTACAAACGCTTGCTATTTTTCAATTACCAATCCGAAAACTAGCTTGCCCGTACTATTTTCACGTATTTCTGCCTCTTCCTCCCTCTCTTTCTCTCACTCTCTCTCTCTCACACACACCATTTAGCATTTTCTTAACCATTTCTCGACTAGTGTCCTCCCAATTTTCCTTTTCCTTCTCAAATTTGGCAATACTGGTTGCTTTAGCTGTTTTTAGTAAGATATCAGAAAAAAAGACTAAAATATGCTATTTTCCCGATAGATCAAAGTTAATCGACTACCCAAATTCATTAGATTCAATTGCTATAACAAAGAAATGGAAGAAGACAAAGAGAAACATTCAATAATTAGAACAAATGTGTGTGCACATTCACAAGTTAAGACCTAATGAACAATACATATCCCATATATAGGGGACAAAGAGCTTATAAACAAACTGGAGGATAAATCACTGATGCATAAACCAAAATTTTCATTAGCAGTGAAAAACTTTGCAAGCAATGCCCAAATCTCTAGACCACATTACACGATTTCGGCTAAGCACTTACAACGGCTATCCTGCTAGTAACTTGGTACAGCAAATATTTGATCTTCTGATAAAGCTTCCGACGTCAAAGCCAATCAATGCAAATGACACCTCTGTCGACCATTTTAGACTCTCATCATGCTGAATTCTCGTGAAGCAGCACATATTCTCGGCTGCAAATTTTCCAGTCAAAGTATTAATGCAAAATGTCCCAAGGGAGTATCTAAAAAAATCCACTTAAAATCACCTTTTAGATGCAGCATAATTCAGAACAAACAAGTGCAAGCTCCTAAAGGCAAAGCGAATGTAAATGAAATAATAACAGAAAACAAAAGCTAATTCAAACTACTATAATCAACTCAAAGATCATGTTATGTTGTGCGAGAAATTGCATGTACGATAAAATTAGCAATTGGAGTAGATGATCTTGATAGGAATTGTAGATATGAAATGAAGCAAGCAAAAACAGGGATTCTACATTAAAACCACAAAAATAAGGGGGGAAAAAAGAAGGGGAAAAAAAAACTAAAAGTATAGCTCATGGAATAGTCTTTTCAAACTATCATAATTTTCATAAGATAAAAAAGATACTGTAAATTCAAGCGAATTGGTACAGTTAATGAAAGCAACTTACCTACTATTACCAAACTTAAGTGTATCCTTTTCTAATAGCTCATAGTATCTCTGGGGCTCAATCCGATTTTCCTGCACACAAGTTAATGTCATCAAAACATAGGGAAACCAATCATAGCCTCTACACAACCTAGACACGAAGAGACCAGAAATGCAGATCATGACTCACATTAATGAAAGTGCCATTAGTGCTTCCAAGATCCATTACGTACGGCCTACAGACCAATTAAACAGCGATTGTAAGTAAGGTATATATAAAGATACATGTCACAAACTTGTACCAAACAACTGACCGCTATAGTCGCACCTTACTTGCTTCGATGAAGTACCATCAGGATTGTCCTTCTCAACTTGCCTATAAAGCAAATAACCAAAAAAATTAAAATCAAATAAACTGTCAAATCTTGAAGCTGAACTAGTACTTGAGATTATATTGTACCTGTACTGGAGGACAGCATGTTGCTTGCTGCAAGATGGGTGATCCGTAGGAATGTCTGCAACCCTCCGTTCTCTCCCAAAAAGATAACAACTTTGGCGATGAACATACAGAGGCTCTATAACATATGGAAAACACATTAGATAGATCATTTTCCATTACCATTAAAGATGAAAATGAGATGGGAGTGAAGGACGGTAACCCAATGGAGGGATATTCAGACAGATTAAAGGAACATAAGATATCACGAATAACCGAGAATTGCACCCAAAAAATAATATAAGAGATACTCCCTCCATTTGAAATGTCATGGATTCCATCTTGATCGTGCCAAAATCCACTTTAACAATTTAAATTAAAAGTTCAAAGACACCCACCCTCCCTCTAACATCCATATAGCAAAAGCCGTGTGTTTTTCCGGCTCAATGAAACATGTACGGCCAACATTTATAGGGTCAATTAGACATACCTCTCCTGCAGTTACCAAGTGACTTCGTCACACTCTCATCTAGTTTAAGAAATGAGAAACTACCCCTCTACTTTAACATGTGGCTCGAGTTTAGCAAAGCTTTTTATGGAGTCATAATGACTAAGGCATTGGCATTTTCTGAGTTTTTTTCTCTACCCTTGTTTCTAAAGGAATGGAAAATTGTAGGATCGCAGGAAGTCACGACCTTAGACATATTACAGAATTAGATAAAATGCATGAATCAGCTGAAAAATGCAAAAAACCCTACAAAATAAGACATCAGAGTAATTGAGTCAAATTATTCTCAAAATGAATACCATCCTATGCGACTCGTAGCAAATACAGGTTTCTGGAATTTTACAAGCTAAGAGGAGGACCATTTTGTTTTTTTAAACTGCTGGGAATCTTAGGGAGTTCTGCCATATTTCATTTTTATAGGCAAGCAACAGATAGGACATTAAACTTGAACTAAGTTTACCACTTGAATTACAGGCAGTATCAGGTGTAATGGATGCCATCCGCGGATTATGATTTCTACTAACCACATTACAACAAACAAAGACATATCAGTAGGCAGATGTGACTGATACGTACAGCGTCCCCCAAAATAAAAGGATGCACGCGTACTTGGTAGGTGCAAATGATACATATAATGCATCTCAAGAAGCAGGTTGTCCCAACACTATGATTAAATAAATAAAAAGGAATACAATGTGCTAATTACTGGCAGATCGACACTACAATTTAAGAAGGCACATAGAATACGTTCATTAAATTTTGAGAACTACAAGTCATACTAGAATAAAATAACGAGAAAATAAATGAAGCCACATATGGAGCAATTCAAAAGAAACATACACTAGGATGAAAGAATGAATAAATAGAAGGATCCAGCAAATGTACCATTGAGGACTTCACCACCCTTAAAAACATACAAGCGCCATCTTATGTCCGGTTTTCTAGCATCTGGTGGCTCATTAAAGAGAAGCGTTATACCTGGCATGAAACAGCACACAATGAGGTAAGGCGGATATAATACAGAGGCTTATTCTCTTTGTTATATGACAAACACAAGACCAAGATATGCTCTCTCTGTCCCCTCATGCTAGAACATAGGGCAAAGTCTCCTATCGTCGACAAGTTCTTCATTTTCTTCTCAACCATTTCTTTTTAAAGATATCCACAGCATACATTAACAGTTCACATCTTGTTACCAGAAATATGGACAATCATTAAACTGTATTAGTTTGTGAGGCGATCAAGCTCGGAATGTTAGAAGCTGAGAAGGCCTAGAGCAACACAAGCTCGAGAGCCTCACGAACTCACTTGATCCAGTTTCATCTACGCCTCAAAATCTAACTTTGGGTTTCAGCAATTTGTTGGCAGCAAGGTATACATCAAGGTTATACAGTTTAGTTCCAAATTCCATCATTGCTCAAACTTAAGATAAGATACTTGAGATTCTGGACGGATTTTCTCTCAAAAACAATTTGTATGGTTGAGTATGCCCAAAAAATCATGTTCTGAACACAACCCGCCTCGCCAGGCAGCAAATAATGACTTTGTGGAACATAAAAGAACTTTGCTTATGAAAAATGAGCAGATCAAAATAATTACCGTTCAGTCCAGAACATGTTCTGCCAAAGCAACGAAGCCAATTAAGGTGGAGTGGTTTTAACAGTAGTAATAATAGAATGATGAACTGGAAGTTTTTTATAAAATTACAGAATAAGCTTGACGGGCTGATTACCCAAAATCCACTGAAAGTTTGAAGTGTACTAACTCTCGGGAGAGACAGACAATATAACTTACAAAGAAGCGACTGCAATTAAGAATGTAAACTTTTTCATCAAGTGTAATCTTTACGCAACTTGAGTCACTGACCTCTTACTCGATTAGTTTCTGCTGCAAGCTTTCCAGAGAGCTCAAACGAAGGCTTGTCCTGGATATCATAGCACCAAACAATTATGTTAGTACTATCAAATAATAAAGCTACAAATTAGAAGGTACTGAAGATCCACACATCTGCATAATAACAATCAGATACAGTGGGAATAAACACAGATCATCCTCACACCAACACCAAGTAGGACAAAGCCTTTTTCTTTTGTAATTTAAAACAAAAACAAAGGAAACCTCGGGTCTAAATAAATGAAATGCAACTCAAGGTAATGTGGAAAATAAATAATACTTTATTTTTAGACTCCAAAGCCTCCTCGGCCGCCTGCATTTTAGATAAGGAGTCATCATCACCATTCCTGCCCAAGCAAAGGAATACTTATCAGCAATTCAAGCCTATATACTTTTCATAAAAATTCAAGTCTATATGCAAGCACATCAGGAGAGAAAAATCAGATATTTACGCATTAGCAAGCTTTGCACCAACTAAAAGAGAGATTCAAAATTTAGCAATAAGCAGCAGCATCCATACAACACATGTTGTTCCGCTAAACACAGTATTTTAAGCAAATGTTAGTATCAATATCCATATACGCCCATGGAGTAAATTAATAAATCAAAAAGTAATGAGAATCAGTTTCAAAGAAAAAGTTATGAGTACTGAGCTTAGAGCTTAGTGCCTAATATATGTTTACATAATAACCAGATACCACTGTGTATCAGCAGTACAACAGGAAAACACAGGACCCTGAGATTTACTGCCCAAATTTCCATTGTTTAACAGCCTAGTACATATATTTAAACTCCTTTTCATTAGGACTCATGTTAAGCTTTCTACAATGTAACATTCCTCATTGCATTGTCAGGTGGTTAACCGGCTGTCGAGGGTGGTCCTTAATTTGCTTGGGATGCAATGGGTGATGCCGGGCACAGTGAAGGACGTGTTGCATAGCTGGGTTCACAGGAGGCAGAAGAGAAGTCCAAGGGCATGGTGTGTTGCCCCATTAGCAATCATGTGGGTTATTTAGAATGAGAGAAATAGGAGGGCATTTGAAGGGGTGGAACAAGATTTTGTAAAATTACAAAATAGCCTACTGTTTGTTTCTTTTTGGTGTACTCATGAGTTCCCTATTTGTATAGAGGATTGAATCTCTTTTGTTGAGAACCATATTTGGTGTAGGTTCTCTTCTTTTGGTATATGGCTTGTATACGGGGTTTCTCCCAATTGTTAATAAAATATTTACCTTATCAAAAAAATGTAATATTCCAGTATGTTTGGAATATCTGTAATGATGATGCTAATATATGCACGATTCACCAGGACTCAAAAGTTAAATTCATTAGAGAATGCAAATTTATCTAAGATGTAATTGTGATGCTTTCTCCTCCAGACTGACCTTGCAGACACACAAACAATTAAATTAACCTTTTTTCTATTAGAACAGATGTAATTGTAGCCAAGCTAACTCCTTGATGTTCAAGCACAATTTAATCTACTCACAAAAGAGACAGGAGGGAGCAAGTCTAAATCATATTGCTCAAATAAGCATGAGAATGATGGCAATTTACTCCGGCAAATTCAGCAACTCACCTGTGTTCACCTCTCCTTGAGTTTGTCACCTGTAAAACATCCGCACCCAATAAGAGCTTTGTATTATAGCATTCAGTTAACAAGCAATTGATATTAGCATAGAAAACTGCATGGAAATGCAAAAGTCCCGACAGAAGTAAACAAAAAACTACAACTTTAAAACTAAAGCAAAGTGTAAATTATTCAACTATCGATGCAGCAATTATATGATAAATCTCTCCTGAAGTTGTATAGGAGATCTTTACTGTGTAGGCCTCGATAAAGTTGTAAGAAATTAGAGATGCGTTATTGCAATTTAAATCTACAAACTTTCTTTGCTATTTTGTTCAGGGATGCAATTACAGGTTTTAACAGATCTCATCCGAGTTGAATGAACTTGCCTGACCATAAAATTAATAGGTCAAAACTCTACTACTATCGTTGTTCTGCAAATTGTAAGAAGAGCATCTTATGCAAGGATTTCCCTAAGAATCAACCACAAAAATGGGGAAAATGACTGTTTTTTACGTACTCGAGGGGGAAAAAAAGGAAGAGGGGGGGTGGAGGGGGGGGGGCGCTAAAAATCGTTGTTCTGGAGTAAACATTCTGCTAGAACCTTGAAAAGATTAAGTACGGAAAGAAGATTAATGGATATCAACCATATTTTCTTGATTTACATCTTTCATTATTAATGTTACCATTCTTAAAGAAACATCTTTCATTATTACCCTGCTTCCCCAGTATACAACGGAAAATAAATAAAAGGAAAGGAAAACTCGGTGGTGAATTTGTCAAGGAGCATTATAAGTTTTAAGGTTTGTCATAGGCAGGTGAAATGCAGACATCATTTGTTTCAAATAATGCTAAAGGTCACTTAATGTGATCGAATATCACCAGACACCTCATCGTGTGCTCTACTATCTGCTGCTGCAGGTGATCTCGATCTGTGTCGACTCCTATGCTGACGTTCTGAAGGTGAAGCTGACCGATCATTTCTTGACTTAGAAGATCCATTCTCCAGTGCATCCTTTCCTGATCTTTTCTCTCTCCTTTCATTTTGCACCATTCTGTCAGAGTCCCTTTCCCTGTGTGTAGCCCTATCACTAGCTCTACCATGATTTTTCTCAGGCTCCCGCTCCCTTGACTTTTCTTCAGTTTCTCGTTCTGCTCTCCTTAGCCTTTTTGTTCGTGGTGAGGGTGAGCGGGATTCAGGGACTATTCTTTCAGAATCCTTCTCCCTATGTGTAGCCCTATCACTAGGTCTACCATGATTTTTCTCATCCCGCTCCCTCGACTTTTCTTCAGTCTCTCGTTCTACTCTCCTTAGTCTTTTTGTTCGTGGTGAGGGCGCGCGAGATTCAGGCACCATTCTGTCGGAACCCTTTTCATTATGTGCAGCTTTATCACTAGCTCTACCATGATTTTTCTCAGGCTCCCGCTCCCTCGATTTTTCTTCAGTCCCTCGTTCTGCTCTCCTTAGCCTTTTTGTTCGCGGTGAGGGTGAGCGTGAGCGAGATTCAGGAGACTGCAACTTGGCACGTCTAGGAGACCTGGCTCGGCCTGAAGACTTCTCAACCTGTAATAACCTCGAATCAGGAGACCTTGACTTAGCTCGTTTGGGAGACTTTGTGCGACTTGAGGGTTTCTCTCTGATTGGGGAGTGAGATGCAGGGGAGATTGATTTTCTGCGTTTTGGGGATCTATTGCGACTAGAAGGCCTCTCCCTTTCAGGTGAAAGAGGAACAGGAGATCTTGACCTTGGACATCTCGGGGACCTATTACGGCTAGAAGGCTTCTCTGCTCCAGCTGATTTTGCAGCATGCGAACTCCTTTTCCGAGCAGGTGAGCTATCCCTGCGTGAAGGGCTCCTCTTACGAGGAGATCCACGACCCCTAGCAGGTGATCTAGAGTCACTGCGCCCCATTATGGAGGTCAAGTTGACGGATAAATCTTCTAAGGCAAAAAACTACAAGAAAAAAAATATAGGATTAATCCCCCCAGAAACACCATAAGCAAAACCAAATCAAAATTATTCGACAAAAGGTATAAAATTCATCACTCTTTTAGACATCTTGTCCATTTCAAGCAAATAAATGACAAAATCACCACTTCTTTAACAATATTAAAGATTTTGAAAGAACTAACACATACACAAATATATTCTGCACAATATGCTTTCACATCCTTCTGTGTCAATACTCTTCGTTTCCAACTCCACTAGTTATATTATTGAAGGTAACTTTCACTAGTTTCAAGCTTCAAACTTTATACTTTGTTTCGATATTTCCATTAGAAGCTACATTTTCTTAAAAAAATGTTCTATCACTGATAAAACAGACAAGCCAAATTAACATTTTAAGCTTCATATCCAGTTAAACAGTAATTTAGAGGTAATTTCACACATTAACCTTGTTCTGCTAGTTGAAAAATTGCAACTTCAGGGCCTGAAAATGATCAAATGGCAAACATACGCTGTTACAGCGCAGCATTTACTGATCCGAACGAAAAAAAAGTTCCAATTTGAGCTTCGACAGAACGAACCATAAGTATATAGTTCAAGAAATACGCAATTTGCATCGAATATAAGAAACATTACAGCAATTCGAAGTCAGCAAAAAAGAAACTTAGAAATGGAGTTTTACCCAAAGCTGAGGATTAGGGTTTGCCGCCCATTGGAAGTTGGAAACCGGAGAAAACAGAGGAGCAAACGATAGTGATGAGAGTCGGATCTTCGGGTTTTTGGGCTTCTGGGCTAGTTTATTCAGAAAAATATTGGGCTTTTTACAGTTGGTTAGGGAGAAGTGCACGGGAGAAATCCAAAAATAGCCAGCTCTACAACGAGATTTTTACATGCTTGGTCCTTTTTTAAAAATTATTATCATAAATGATAGTAGACTTTGTTTATTTTAAAAACAGCACTTTTTTTTATTTTTTTAGCACTTTTATTTTGATAACTCCATTAAATAGGGGATCACTCTACATTAATACACTTTTTACTACATTTTTTTTTCTCTCTTTCTTCTATAACTTCTTTTTTCTCTTCCATAAATAACACTTACCCAAATATATCAAAGATTCTAAAAGAAGAATATCTCAAAAATAATTCTCTCTACACAATGAGAATTTTAGTATTTCTTTATTTTTTGAGTTTTAAACTTTTTTCTGTACAATTTTATTTTAACTAAAAATATACATTTAATATATTAAAAGTATATTATATTGTGATAATTTATAATGTAAATATTCCATCAATATGTCATATATATATATATATATATATATATATATATACCACATATATAACTTATATATATATATATCATACTACATTATTATATTGATATTATTCAAAGTATATTACTAGCATATACCTTATATAAAATTTAATCTTAAATATTAGTATGCCACTAATATGTATATAGAAGAAAAAAAATATGTCACATATACTATTTATATACGGATAATTTGTACAAATATGCTTGTTATATTAGTGCAAAATATAAATGCATATTTATAATATCTCTTTAAATATAAATAAGTGTATAAATAACATATGCATATATACATAATTTTTCCTAAAAAACACATAATTTATAATATACCATAAACATACATTATATTTTTTTTCACGAAATATATGTATTTTATTCCATTGGAATATACAAATATATAATTTTGCTAGGATTAAGTTGAATAAAAAGGTCCATGCATAAAAAGGAAAAAAATTACTATGGAATGGATCGATGATATATAATTAAATATAAATATATATATATATATAAACAACATATGCATATATATATATATATATATATGAATTTTCCTAAAAAAATATATGATTTATAATGTATATACACCACAAATATACACTATAATTTTTTTGTAAATATATGTATTTTATTTTGTTAGAATATAAAGATGTATAATTTGCTACATTACATTATATAAAAAAGTCCATGTATGGAAAGGAAAAATCTGTTATGGATTGGTTTCTAAAAAAAATATAAAACATGGTATAGAATGGAGAGAAAAAATAGGGAAATATATTAAATACTAGGACTGCCTTTTTAAACAGCTTGATTCTTGCTGATTTGAATTGAATTAAATCTGCTATATGTATAAATATTTTACTGCCATATTTGTTAATCATTAATTAATGCTAATCTTTTGTATTATATTTTTAATAGTGTGATATTAATGAAAGTAGCTCATTTACAACTGGTCATTCAAAAATAGTCCAATTTCAAAAGTAATCAAAATTTAGCCACTTTTCATGTAAAAATAAATCTGAGCGGAAACACTGTTCAAAATTCGAAAAATACGTCAGTATATTATGCTGGAGTTCCAGCATAACTATATTTGAACTCCAACATATTATACTGGAGTTCCATGATAAATATGCTAGAACTCCAGCATAAGTACACTAGAACTCCAGCATAATATATTGGAGTTCCAGCAAGTATACCGGTTCAGCATAATATACTGGAGTTTGGAGCACCGATGCTCCAGTCTCCAGTATATTATACTGGAGCCAGCAAAGTATACCGGTCCAGCATAATATGCTGGAATTCATACACAGGTGCACCGAACTCCAGTATATTATGCTGGAAATAATCACTATTTTGCTGCAACAGGGACCGGTCCAGCATAATATACTGGAGTTCGGTGCACCTGTATATGAACTCCAGCATATTATGCTGGACCGGTCCCTGTTGCAGCAAAATAGTGACTATTTTTCATTGACTTGGTAAACGCTAGTTATTTTTGAATGACCAGTCCAAAAACTGACTATACCGTGCTATTTTTACGAAGTGCATCAATAGTCACTATTTAATAATTATTTAAAATTTAGCCATTTTATGATAAGTAAATAAAATTTGGGTATAGAGGTAGTAAAGAAGTATAAATGAAAGGGCAGCCTCTAGGAAGGTAACTTTTGTTCATCAAAGACGATTGAGCATGAAGTAACTCAAGTGAAAGCATACAAGAATCATCTCAGAATAGGGATGGGCGTC